AAAAGTGGCTTGGCAAGTTGGCAGCATAGAAATGTTATGAATAATTGGAGAACGATTTTTATATGATATTACATTCTTAAAATAACCTCCTAATATGTCATATTATTTAATTAACTCTAAATAAAGATAGTTAATTTATATGGAGAAATATTTAATGAATACAAATAATTTTTATTTTATTTTAAAAATATATAGTACTCCATTTATCTCATTTTGGTTGTCTAATTTGTTTAACGGGTTTGACTCAAGTTATTTACAATTTAAATTTATGTAATATTTTATTTAGTATTAACATATACAATTTATATATTTAGAAATTGCACTAAAAGTAATATTAAACACAAATAATTAAATTTAAAAATTATGAAAAAAATACCCAAAAAGGTACCCCAGTTTGTAGAACATGATTCTTGTATTTTAAAGTTATGAGTTCGATTTTTACTAGCATCTTATTGATCGAGCCCGTCACACAAGGTCTTCTTAGTGCGATCTACCTCTCTTGTGTGGTTTATATGTTATTGTACATGAACGAAATTTATCCAGGAAGAAAGAGTATAGTTGATCAATATAGTAAATATAACAAGTCGAATGAGATAAATACTCCATCCGTCCCATTTTATTTGTCTAATTTGGTTAACGAGACTCGACTAAAGTTATTTTTAATTCAATTTTTCAAAACATTAAGTTTTATATTAATATGTAAAATTTATATATTTAGAAACTACATTAAAAGTATTATTAAACACAAAAAATTAAATTTAAAAATTATTAAAAAATAAATAATGAAGAAAGAGTTGGGTAATAGACATGACAAAAAAATTAGAATTGAATATCATAAGAAACTAAACATAAAAAGTATTTTTAAATACTTTTTGTTTGGTAATCAGAATTGTGAAAGTTATAATATGATCATAAAAAATTTGAAAATTTGAAAATGAGATCCATTGTCCCGATTTGACTTTAAAAATCATCACATCCAACTTTTCAATCACAAATTTGACATTTTCAAGCAACATGTACATTGCAACTCAAGACATGACAATTGTCGGCTTTGTGACTGAAAATTATGTTTCTGATTGATTTTTAAATCAAACTATAGAGTTAGTGTATAGTGATTGATTATTATGTTTAGAAATATTGATTAACAACTGCCTCTTGCTTTGATTATTATATTTCATCCTTTGAATACTCTTTGTATTTTTTGTTTCTGACGAGAAAAACTTCATAACCATTATCTGATGATGTGTATTCGATAAAGGTAAATTTTGATTTTGTATACTGGAGTAATAATTAGTAAATTACATAGGGAAGGCAAATCGTACTAAGAATACTTCTGAGACATGCTCGATCATGATGAAGCGTTTGGTTGGAATGATTGAATTAGAGGTGAAATATATTGTAATTTTGTGGCAAATGAATAATGTTTGAATTCAAATTTTATTATTCAGTAGACAGAAATTGATGAAGATTGAAAAGGAAAAAGTGAATAAAGAATTGCAATTTCCTGGTACCAAATAATGGAATTGTACATCCCATTGTTTGGTAGGAATGGAATTGTAATTCCATTCTACCAAACACTCCATGAGGGTGTTAACAAAAATTGAATTCGTAATCTTTAAGTATGAAAATCATATCCAATCCACTCGTTCACTCCTTTCGAGGCTTCCTTGTAATATTGTATTGGTGTAATCTCATCACGATATATATATTTTTGTTTTTATATTTCTCTTGTGTTGTATAAAAAATATTGATTAACAAATGAATAATATTACTTTTCACTCAAAAGTTTCATCTTCCAACGTAATTTATATTCATTGAGTGCAATGAATTAATTGACCCCACATATTTATAATCAAATATTAAAGAATTCCATCAAATAAAGTCACGTTTAGAGGGAAAATTAGAAAGAAAAATGTAGGAGGGTGGGTAACGTTATTCTTAATATATTGTAACTTAACTATTACCAGGGAGAAAAAGAGAATACTACTCCGTCCATTTTATTTTGTGTATGATTTGATTTAACGAAACATGATTTGAGGTATTTGTAATTCAAACTAATAATATTTAGTTTGGTCTAGACTACTGGCTCCATGATGTTACAAATTCTAGACATTCGTAAAGTTAAAATTAAAATTAAAAAAAGGAAAACTAATGCCTATGGTTTTCCTACATCATAATTTGGTTAGTTTGTGAGAGGTAAAATTACCCTATTTAGTTTAGCATTAGTGTATAAAATGTACGGAGTATAAGTTTTATAATTGCCAAAAAAAATTATAAAATAAAATAAATAAAAATTAATTTGATTAATGAATAATAATTAAAATAGGTTAGGGTAATATTAATTTTCAAAAAAAAAAAAAAGGTTAGGGTAATATTAAATTAAAAAAAAAATGTAATGAGAAAAAAAGGAGAAAGCTGAGTAACCCCTCTTTTTAGCAGCTTTTTTCACATTCTATTATGCCCTTTAATAAATACGGACTTACGGAATAACATCATTAGTCATTACCTTCCCTTCCCCTACTTAGCTACTTTCCTTTTTGAAATCGTTTTTTATTTTTTTATTTATTATTTATTTATTTTATTTATTTTTTTTCTATTAATTAATACCATATATAGCTATTCATTATTGTACAACTTATATAATTTTTAATTTATTTCACATTCGATCCTTCACCTTTTAATCTATTAGATTTGATTTCTTCAAATTAAAAGAGTCAAATGCACCATTAAAGTTTACTGGAAAGTGCAATTAGGCCCCTAAACTTCAAAAAAGTGTAATTAAATACACAAATTTATCAAAATAAGTCAATTAAGTTTGATTCACCGGTAACCAATAGGTTAACGGTAAAATTATGGCCGTTGACCACTGTTCACGACAAGTAAAAAAAATTAAATTAAGTTTGAGTGTTTAATTACACTGTTTTGAAGTTCAAGGGCGTGGGCGTAATTGCACTTTCGAATAAAGTTCAAGAGCCTATTTCACTATTTTTAAAATTTTTTAAAAATGTATCACTGTTAATTCAAAATGTTAAAATAGCCTCAAATATAATAAGATGAAATATTAAGTGCATTTTGAATACTTTGAACTAAAAAATGAACATATTTAAAGTCAAATTTAATAGTTGATCAATGTTAAGAATTAAAAGTGAAAATACCTTTATAGTTGGGGATCAAAATTGAAAGAATAAGTATTGTGTGAGACTGTCTCAGCTCGTTGTCGTGTAATATTTTTCATGAGTGCATTAAAAAGTATTACATGTTTCCTAAAATATATTACATGTTTCATATGAGACGGTCTCACACAAGACTTACACAAATTGATAAGTTATATAATTTATTAATACTTCCAATTCGACCTAATCAATGTTCTATTGCGGTTAAGTCTAACTATTTATTATGTTGACTTGTTTGCTAATATTATTTGATGGGACAAATACACAGGTATGTTGTATTCAATCACGTTGTATGAACTCGGGCAGCTAGATATGAGATTTCGAGGTTAGACATTCCCGAACTTAGGTTTAGTATATTCCTAAGTACAAAAGTCCACACTTCAGGCATTTAATGCGCCTTATATAGAAATCTGGAGGGAACACATGCTGAGCGTACAACATGTTAACCATGTGTCTTACATGCATCGGTCACAAGGTCGCAATAGAACGACCATAGTAATTCCATGTGTTACGAGATTTATGATATTTGCATTATTATGACATGATCAGGCAATGCGATTGGGTTGTACTTGTCTTCTAATAATGAAGGTTCGGTGCTCGGGATAGTCGGCCTTCCTGATCAAATGAGCTTGGGAATCCTATCCTGGGTGCAAGTGCAACTATTAGTAATCCTAAAAAGGGACCATCTCTTGACTTGGCTTGAAACGGACGAATACAAGGCAATCGGACGTGCTCGAGAAATGAACCTTGCACGTGTATACGCATACGAGTAAAGGCTATCAATATTAAAATTTGTATAAGTTATGAAATCTTTTTTTTTTTTTTTTTTTGAATGCTATTGACTCTATTACATTACATTGTAACACACAGAGTCAATATCGCCTCTACTAAGGCTCGATCTCATGACCTCCCACATGAAAGAAATCACTACATGCCATCTGAGCACAAGACGCTTAACAGTTATGAAATCTTATATCAACTTTAATTTTATATATTTTAATATTTATACACGTTAACCTAATGTATAATAATTAAATAATATATAAAGAAAAAAATTGCCTTGTGATCTTTTTTTTTTTTTTTTTTTAAAGATCTTTTTTAATTTTATTGTTTTTGAAATAATTTACTAAAACATTAAAATTAAGACATATAAGATATGATTTGTCATGTGTGGTTACTATAAATTTTATTTGAATGAATTTATCTTTAAATCTATTAATTCTTATATTATAGAAAATTTTTAAAAAGAACAATGATATTTTTGTAAATAAAATGATAATTATTTAGAAAAATGTCATTGTTTCTTTTATTTTTAATAGTAAACATGATACGTTTTTTTGAAATCATAGATTTTTTTAAATAAATTATAAGAATTAAAATAAAATTATATAATACAAGAATTCTAGATGATAATGGGTGAGAGGTGATAGGTTCAAGTCTTAGAGAAGGCGATTAGTAGTTTGGGTGTCACCATTTCTTTGTAATAAAAAAGAATTCCAGATAATAATGTAATAATAAGAGGTCTTTAAAGTAGAATCCTTACTTATAGGTCCGAGAAAAACAAAATAATATGGGTAGACAAGGAGGCGAGGCAGGAGGCAAGGAGGTAATTACTGAAAAAAGAAAAAAGAAACAAAAAAGAAAAACCAAAAGAGAAACCCAAGAAAAAACATTTTTGACATCCTAAGGTAGGGCCAGAATAGTAAATTCGTCCCCATACCTAGTCATCATTATTATTTATTATAGTACGTAATAAGAGTTGTAATATCGTATAAAGTATCGACAAAAATATGAAGAAACATAATCACTTTTTGCAGAAAAACCATAATTTAGTCCTCTCGGTTTAGCACTTTACAGTGTTCTCATTAAAAAAAAAAAAAAAAACCATTTCTATAGAATCTCAACAAATCTCCTTCTTTATCCCCGGAACCCACCCCATCCCACCCCACCGCGATTCAGGGAATGTACATACAGTATATAAATGTAGTTCTGTACATACATATACACTTGCCTTATTGAAAGCTGCATTTTAGAAACTGCAAAGCAAATGCCCACCTGTTAGAGAGAGAGAGAGAGAGACCCAATGACGTTCACAGAGAGCGGGGGAGAGAGAATGGTGTGGAAGTAAATTGAGCAGAGCAGCTAAGTGGTTTTGTCAATCACAGCTGCTGATCAAGATTCTTTTGACCAATTGCCAGTTTTTTTTTGCTGTTTTGGTGAGTATTCATCTGGATTTTATTATAAGGATCCGATTTTTGTTTGCTTTCTAGTGACCCATATGTCTGTTTCTTTTTGTTTTTTGTTTTTGTTTTTGGTTTTCACGCCGGTTTCTCAAATTTCATCAATGTGAACGACTTTTAGTGTTTAGATCAGGGGGGGTGTATGTAAGAACTGGGTTTTGAGTGTGTTTTGCTTTTCTACCAGATTTCAATGTTTATTTGTTGTTTATCTGAGTGGTTAGAAGGATTACTCGTTTGCAGTTTTAGTTCATATACATTTGATTAAAATCTTTTTTTAATTTTTTTTTTTTTTTTTTGGGGGGGTTTTGGTATTTACCCTTTCATTTTAGGCCTATGTGTGTTTATAGTTAATTTAAGATGTCAATTTTTTTTTCCCTTTATCTTCTTCCTAATGTACTAATATGAATGATTTCAACATTTCTTGTATTGTTGGAGAAGATTCTGTACTTTTTATTGATAATAGAGTTATTTTGTGGGTGAATTTTTGTTAGATATGTGAAATAAGGTATCTATGCGACCCATTTTGTTTTGCTCCATCTATGATCTGATTTTACTCTGCATTTTCTTCTTCTTTGGCTCAGATTTTACTTGATTTGCTAGCTTTGAAACAGTTGAAGTGAGAAGTTATACTTGCTGCTATTGTCTAGCTTGTGATTAATTGAGCAGGTAACTTGCAGTGCTAATTGCAGTAATTTCCAACACTTTTTACTGCTTGGAAAAATTGTGCATGTTGGACTTCCTTCTAATGCAGTTTCCCTTAAAAATCTTTGGCAGGTGCAAGAATTAAAGCCACAAACCCCTCTCTCTAGTTGAGTTATACAAGTTCTTATACTGGCCTGGATCCATTACTTTTATTGCTTGTACAAAGACCGGGATTTCGCTAGGCCAAAACCACTTGTGCTTTTGTTCGTTGCTGGAGTCATGGCATCTTTGCTTCACTCTGAATCGAGGCGGTTGTATTCTTGGTGGTGGGATAGCCACGTCCCAAAGAACTCGAAATGGCTTCATGATAACCTCACCGGTGAGCAGCTTTTCACATTCTTTTTACTTCTTTCCTTCTCATGTTCTTCAAAAGTTTGGAATTTTTGTCGCCTAAAATTACAGGCATGCCTTAGTTTAATTGTTTTTATTTTCTGCATATTTATTTGAGATATTGTTCCAGTGCTTAGAGGGCTCTTTATTCAATTTCACCAAATCTTGCGGTGTTTATTATGGAACTAGCCTCTGCAGACTTTGCTTTATGGTTTCGGTTGTTCACTGTGTAGCTCGATGTTTCCAGCTGAGTCTTTCACTGTATTTGACTTGCAAACACACTTTTTGACCCTTCCAAATGTGTGGTTTAATGTCTCTGGAAATGCTATTTCAAGTAGTTGATGCTTCTAACCCAACAGGGTAGCTCAAGTGGCAAATGAGCTCTCTTTGGGGGAGAATTCTGGGATAACTGGGGTTCCATTCCCACAAGTGACGATTCCCTTTGGGCCAGCTTCTGTGCTTTTCGGAGCGAACCGGGTGGACCTGGACCGCCGTGACCACATTGTGGTTTACACCAAAAAGTAGTTGATGCTTCTAAGATTAACATGATACCTGTACCCATACCCGAATTATTTACAGGGAAGGTGGCAAGTATGGGAATTTCCGGAGAATTCTTCATACTTGGGGTATGGGGGTTTCTCCCACCCCTTATATAAGTGTATGTGTAATTGTGTATATATATACTTATTTCCTACAAATACTTAAAATTATCATTTTAGATATATTATATTATTCCATAATGTCATACTATGTGCTATTACAAATTTGACACCAAGTAGCTCGTGTCTACCATATGTTTTTGAAGGGCAATATCGAAATAATATTAATTGACTATTAGTGGCTTAGTCCTACTTTTTAGAAGAGTTTTGAACACTATTTATCCCCAAGTGGTTATGAATTAGAAGAGTTTACTTTGTTGGGCTTTAAATTGATCTATTGCCTCAAGATAATGCTTTAAAATATGCTGTATTTTATTCTCTGGTTTCTGAGTGTTCATTCTGCCCATAGCTGATATGTTCACAATCTCACATTGCCCGTACAATGTATTGCTAATATATGTTGTTTACCTTGTACTATGAAATTATGAAGCATTAACTGACCTTACGTTGATGTTTTGTCACAGATATGGATGCTAAAGTAAAGGCAATGATCAAGCTGATTGAAGAAGATGCGGATTCGTTTGCACGGAGAGCTGAAATGTATTATAAAAAACGACCCGAGCTGATGAAATTGGTTGAGGAGTTCTATCGAGCATACCGCGCATTAGCTGAAAGATACGATCATGTAACAGGTGAGCTCCGGCATGCACACAAAGCGATGTCGGAGGCTTTCCCCAACCAAATGCCGTTTCTTCTGGCTGAAGATTCACCTTCAAAAGCTTCAACGCTCGAGGGAGAACCACACACTCCGATCCGTGCAATGCCCGAAGCAGATGACTTTCATAAGAATCCGTCGTCCTGGATAAATGCTTTTCAGATGATTGGTACATATCCTGGCGAATCCGATACTGGATCCAGCGAGAGAGGTTTGAAACTGTTAAACGAGATTATCGGGGAAGGAGAAGATACTTCAAAAAATTCAAGATTAATGGATGGAGGGTTAGTAAGAGGCCTCTCCGATATAGGAGATAAATTTCATAATGAAGTGTCGAAAATATCGAATGAAAATCTAGATCTCAAGGCCAAGCTTCTCTCCGAGACTGAGCGTGCGGGCAAAGCAGAAACGGAAGTTCAGAGCTTGAAGGAAGCACTCGCTGATATGCAGGCAAAGAAGGAATCTCTCCTCCTTCAGTATCAGCAGTGCCTCGAAAAATTATCAGCTGCAGAGTCGGAGCTACTTCAGGCGCAGAAGGATTCCATGACGATCATTGAACAAGCAAGCAATGCTGAAACTGAACTTCACGTTTTGAAGGACTCCCTTAGTAAGGTTAAGGCTGAAAGAGATTCTGAACTGGCCAAAAGCAAGCAATATCTACTAATGATATCTAATCTTGAGAGTGATATCTCTCAAGTACAGGAGAATATGGAAGACCAAAATGAACGAGCAGTTAAGGCAGAAACTGAAGCTCAACATCTAAGAAATGAGATCAGCAAATTGGAGTCTGAAAACGAAGCGTGTCTTTGCCAGTACAGACAATGTCTGGAAAAGGTTTCCGATCTGGAAAAGAAAATCTTGTTGGCGGAGGAGCATTCCAGATTGCTTAAGGATCGAGCTGATGGTGCTGAAGCTGAGATCAAGAGACTGAAAGAGGCTCTTATGGAGCTAAACAAGGAGAAAGAACTGTCGGATTCTCAGTGTAAAGACTGCCTAGAAAAAATATCCAAGCTTGAGAGCCAGCTCTACAGTGCCCAGGAGGAAGTCAAGCGCCTAAATGGCGAGATTCTTGTTGAAGCTGCAAGACTTAAAAACGCCGAAGATAAGTGTCTTGTATTGGAGATGTCAAATCAATCGTTGCGTGTAGAGGCGGAAAATTTGGCAAAGAAGATTCTAATGAAAGACCAGGAACTTTCTGAGAAGCTTATGGAGCTCGAGAAACTTCAGACTGACTTACAACATGAATGCCTAAGTCATGCACAAATTGAAGCTTCTCTCCAGATTTTGCAGAATTTGCACTCTCAATCTCAAGCAGAGCAGCAAGCTCTGGCATTGGAGCTGAAAAATGGTCTTCAAGTGCTGAAGGACTTGGAAACTTGTAAAGGTGGTTTGGAGGATGAACTTCAGCAGGTGAAGGTTGAAAACTGCAGTTTGAATGAACTGAAAATGTCTTCAACTACTACGATAAAAAATCTGGAAAATGAAATCCTTAACTTGAGGAGGATGAAAGAGAGGCTTGAAGAGGAGGTTGCACAACAAATGGAGAAAAGTAATTCCCTTCACCAAGAGATTTCCTGTCTCAAGGAGGAAATTTGTCGCCTGAGCAACAGTTACCAGACTTTAGTTGAGCAGGTGAGGTCAGTCGGTCTGGACCCAGAGTGTTTTGTTTCTTCAATAAGGAGCTTGCAGGAAGAAAACTCGATGCTAAGAAAAACCTATGAGAATGACAGTACCGAGAAAGAAGTTCTTCGCAGGAAGTTGGAGAATATGGAGGAATTTTTGAGTAAGAAAGCTGGTTTGGAGAGCTCTCTTTCTGATGTGAATAGAGAGTTGCAGGGATCGCATGAGCAGGTGAAGGCATTGCAAGAATCTTGCCAAACTCTCCAGATTGAAAAATCTGCTCTTGTTGCCGAAAAAGCTTCTTTGCTGTCTCAACTGCAAATGGTAACTGAGAACATGCAGAAACTCCTGGAGAAAAATGCAGTTCTTGAAAGCTCACTTTATGGTGCAAAAGTTGAACTTGAAGGTCTCAGGGAAAAATCAAAGGGTTTAGAGGAAATCTGCCAATTGTTAAAAACTGAGAAGTCCAATCTTCTTGCTGAAAGGGACAACCTAGCTTTTGAGTTGCAAAATGTTGAACGGCGAGTAGAATGCCTTGAGAAAAGATGTTCTGGGCTGGAAGAAAGACATGCTTTGCTAGAGAGGGAAAAAGAAGCCATGCATTCACAGGTAGAAGAACTAAGAGTCTCAATTCATACTGAAAAACATGAACGTTCAAGTCTTGCACTCAAGAGTGAGACTCGTATGACTAGCCTGGAAAACCATATTCATATCCTACAAGAAGAAAGTAAGTGGAAAAAGAAAGAATATGAAGAGGAGCTTGAAAAAGTAACAAGAGCCCATTTTGAGATTTTTGTCCTGCAGAAATTCATAAAAGACATGGAAGAGAAAAATCACTCTCTGGTGAGTGATTGTCAGAAACATGTTGAGGCCTCAAAATTGGCTGATAAACTGATTTCTGAGTTAGAGAACGAAAATCTTGAGCAGCAGGTTGAAGCGGAGCTCTTATTAGATGAAATTGGAAGGCTGAGAGTAGGGATATTTCAAGTTTTCAAGGCTCTGGAAACTAGTTCTGGATGCATCTCTGAAGCCAAAATTGAAAATGAACAAATCTTTTTGCATCATATTTTTGGCAGCATTGAGGATATGAAATGCTCCCTCACAAAGTATGAGGATTATAATCAACAGCTGTTTGTTGAAAACTCAGTTCTGCTAACTCTCCTGGCAGAACTGAAATCAGATGGAATGGAATTGGAAGTACAGAAGAGATTTATGGAGCAGGAGCTCAGAATAACAGCAGAGAAGCTTGTTATGGTGCAAAATGACAAGTGCAAACTTCTGGAGATGAACAGGCAATTAGAATCAGAACTGATAAAGGGAAATGAAGAAAGTGCCATGCTTGAAGCTGAGGTGGAGAGTCTCTGTGTTAAACATGTCGACTTGAAGAGAGATTACCTTGAATTAGAGGATGATTATTCTCAATTACTAGACCAGAATGAATCTTTGATGGAAAAGATCTCAGAGATTGGCAAAGAGAAGTGGATTGTGGAGCAGGAAAATGATACAATTCTTCTAGAGACACTAGATCTCATTAACCTTTCCACAATTTTCAGGAGTTTTAGTAATGAGAAATCTACAGAGCTGAAATCATCTATTGCAGTTGCACAAAATTTGCAGGGTGTAATCAGTGACTTCGAAAAAGAGGTTGGAATTTTGAGGGGGAAGCTGCAAATGAAAGAAGCAGAAAACTTAATCCTACAGGAATCGATTCAAAGGGTGGAGATGGAGCTGCTAGAAGTTAAAAAATACAATGATGGTTTGAAAATGGAAGTTTCAAGTGAAAAAGAAATTGTGAGGCAGAAGGAAACGGAGCTTTTGGAAGTAGAGCAGAAACTTGAGGCTGCAGAGAACTTGAACTCTGAATTGTATAGCAATCTGGAAGAACTAAAATGTCATTCTCAACAATCTCTATACATAAAGGAAAGTCTGGAGAGGCAGGTAATTGAACTAACGGAAGATAATGAAATTCAGAACAAGGAAATCGGGTGCCTTAAAGAAGTGAACGCAAGCTTAGTGGGCAAACTGGATAAGCTATGTGCAGAGATTGGGGAACAACAAGTTCGAGAAGAGAATCTGAGTTCTGAGCTGCAAGATAAAAACCAGGAGTTTGAACTTTGGGAAGCAGAGGCAGCAGCATTTTACTTTGATCTCCAGATCTCTTCCATCAATGAAGTTTTTCTTGAAAATAAGATTCACGAGGTTTCTGAAGTATGTGGAAGTCTAATGGACCAAAATGCTTCCAAAAGTTTGGAGATTGAAGAAATGAAAGAAAAAATTGGTTCGATGGAGGGTGAGATTGGAGAATTGAAAATGCAAGTACAGTCATATTCTCCTGTAATAGCTTCTCTCAAAGAAGACATAGCATCCCTTGAAAATAGTGCTTTGCTTCAGTCAAAACTCAATGTATCTGATGTTGAGGAGCCAAAGGTATTGTACTTCATTTTACAAAATCTGATAACTCCTTTGCTGTTGCGTATTTTAACTCGCAACTTTTCTGCATTTTCTTCCTGTGGTGTTAGTTTTACTGGTCAATTTGAAGAAAACATTAGATGCTTCTTAAAACTGAGACCAACATAGGATCAAATTACCTTGTTTCAACCAGCTTGGTTGGCGTGAGTGGCCGTGCACTCTCATCCCTTAAGAGAGGTCGGGAGTTTGAACCCCCTCTCGTATGGAAAAACCAATCTGGCCAGCACTTTGCCCCTTAATTGGGCCGGCCCGGTGCGAATGGGGATTAGTCTGAGTATGGTACGGGCTTAAAGGTGCCTCCTACAATTAGGACCTACTCAGGACACCTCATGGCTTGACCAAAAAAAAATAAAAAAATTACCTTGTTTCAATTTTCTTAGTACTATAATGGGGGAAATGGTTTCTCTAGCTCTGGTGCTCAGTTTATTCTATGTTAAGGACAGGCATACCGAAGAATCTGTATGACTTTTTACTGGGATATCAACGATAACTTTCTTTTTATGTCATTCATGATATTGAAAACTGTACTTAAATTTATACCTTAAGTTCTTAGCTTCTTGTGGGCTTGGATTCATATTAAGTATCTAATTTTATTTTCATTATTGTCTTGCTCTTTTAACTCTTGCTCCGATTACTAGAATGCAAACAAAGCTTTAAAAGCAGCATTTGGCTGTGGTTGATTCATTCAGTTATGTCACATAAGCTGCTAAAATGAAAACGTTGTGATCACTGAGTATTTTTCTTCACACATTTTTACAGGCTATGGAAGTTGAGGTTCATCCGAATGAAAATAGCTGTGACAAACAATTGGAAAGTATCTCTGAGAAGCCGATGGATAATCAATCTGCCTTGATAAATGGGGTCCTAGATTTGCAGCAATTACGGACTAGGATTAAAGCTGTTGAAAAGGTGGTGGTGGAACAGATGAAGAAACCTGGCATGAAGAGTAAGGCGGGACAAAATAGTATAAGGTGTGAAATTGAGGCGTTAAAATCTCAGCACAGTTTGGACCGAGAAAAATACAAGCGTAGAGAAAGGAAGGGAAGTAAAGGAAGTAGGGATGAGTGTATGGATAGCGTCAGCTCACAGAAGACGAAGCCCAAATCTTGTGAAATCAGGAGTGGAACAATGATGAAAGACATACCACTCGATCATGTCTCCGATGGCTCACCACAAAAAAATCGCAGGAGAGGTGCTACTGGTTCATACAGGATCGATGATCAGATGCTCGAGTTATGGGAAACTGCAGCGGGCTGCAGTCCTATTCAAACCGTGAGAGGGTCAAAGAAGCCACCGTTGGGAGTTGATAATGCAATCTACAATCGGCTAAGTACCGAGTGGAAGAACAAACATCCACCCACCGACTTAGAAGTGGAGAAGGAGCTGGGAGTTGATAAATTAGAGCTACCAATGACTGTTTCCGAGCCAAATCAAGGAATAAACAACAGAAGGATTCTGGAGCGACTCACGTCTGACGCTGAGAAATTGATGAGTATTCAGGTGACAGTAGATAACCTGAGAAGGAGATTGGAGACGAATCGGAAGGGGAGAAAATCCAAGAGTGTTGATTTTGATACGGTGAAGGAGCAGTTACAGGAGGTCGAGGAAACCGTTGTCCAGTTAGTGAATCTGAATAGTCAGTTGATGAAAAATACCGAAGAGGAGGGTTCCTTCTCCAGTGCAAATGCTTCAGCTGAGATGAAGGAGGTCTCGAATGTGTGGCATAGGAGAGTTGCCGAGCAGGCAAGAAAAGGGTCCGAGAAGATTGGACGATTACAAACCGAGGTTCAGAAGATCCAATATGTATTGCTGAAACTGGAGGACGAAAAGAAGAACAAAGCCAGAAGCCGATTTTCCAAGACCAAAACGGGTATCGTTCTCAAGGACTTCATATACATTGGCAGAAGAGACAGCGAAAAGCGGAAGAAGAAGGCTCATCTCTGTGGATGTTTTAGACCCTCAAGCAGTGGCAGTGGGAGTGGCCGAGGCAGCGTAAGCCACATGTAACTGTGTTTAGCGTTTTGAACGACAATGGTCCTTATATTTGCTTTGGCAGGATCAGATCATTTCTTTTAATTTGTTAGTCTAGAGTAACTCTAAGAACTAGATGTTATCTAATTCAAATAAACTCCACCTATGAAAGTCTTTTCCTTAAAATTGCTTTTTTAGGAGACTATTACATTACTTCTATTGGGGAAATTAATTTGCAGGTCCCATGTTTGAACTTTCGAAGGTTGAATGCTTTCCTGTCTGCCTCTGTTTATATGATATGATGAATGTACAACTCAGGTCAAACTATTTTAGTACCTCATTTTCTCTTCAAGTTTTAGGCCCATAGAAAAACTATTACAGGGCGTTTTGGTTGGAGGGATTTTAAATTCCCTTCCCACTTAATTCTCACATAATTCCAAAGGCCATTAAATTCCGTAGTTTGGTTGGAGGGAATTGCATGGAATTGCAATTCCCTCATTTTCATGGAATTAAAATCCCATGTCTCCCCCGGCAATTTATATCCTACATCACAGCGCGCGTTGCACTATGCGCCCAGATGAAAAACGACGTCGTTTTAATTTTTTTTTTTTTTTTTTTTAAATTTCCCGCCCCAGTGAATGACAGTAGTTTTTTCTTTAAAAAAAAACCCGCTGTTCAAGAATGTACATAATGTTATACTAGAATACACATAATTGTATACATGAATGTACATAATTATATAACAAAATATACATACTCTTTTTAAAAGATAATACACATAATCTAACATAATACATAATAAACATAAACTTTTAACATAATACACATCAACTATTAACATAATACAGACAAATTTTCTGATTCGGATGTACATAATTGTATAAAAAGAATGTACATAATTGTATAAAAAATGTACATAACTGTATGAACCAATACACATAACTGTATGAACAAATACACATAATCCCAGCAACTTCCTACCGCGCCTCCCAAAACGACCCCAAAACGACGTCGTTTTGGGAGGCGCGCGGCGCACAGTGCTATGTGCGCCGTGGTGTAGGGTATAACGATTGTCTCCCCCTGGAATTTTAATTCCTGGGAAAAAAAGATAGTGATGAGTCAAAATTATCCATTCCTTTTTTAACCTAAAATTAATGTCTAACAACAATAATGTATATTATTGACTTTATACTACTTATTCCCTTTCAATTCCCATGTATACCAAACATTAGAATTGAAATTCCCAGTAATTCTATTCCTGTCAACCAAACACTGGAATTTAAATTCCACTTTATTCCCAGTAATTCAACTCCCTTGGAATTACAATTCCTTTCCCACATAATTCTCCCTCTCCAACCAAACGCCCTGTTAGTGAAAAATTGTTAGCATCACAGGGGCAAATTATGTTGTGGGACCGTGTCCGCCTACTTTGCAGCAAGGTAGGTGGACACGGTTTCAAAATTGTTCATAATTGTGAATATAGAGTTCAGAAATTATGAACATAAAGTTCTATAATTATGAACTTAGAGTTGATTATGAACATAGAGTTCTGTAATTGTGAATATGAAGTTCAAATATTATGAACATAGAGTTTTATAATTATGAACATAGAGTTTTGTATTTGTGAATATAGAGTTCAATAATTGTGAATATGAAGTTCAAAATTTATGAACATAGAGCTTTATAATTATGAACATCGAGTTCAGTAATTATGAATATAGAACCGTGTTCACCTTGCAAGGTGGACACGGTTCCACGGCATAACAATCCCATCACAAGTAGTGCAAATGCAACTTATAGTATGACATTTTGAATTCACACTGGGTGAACTCTAATATGGTCTTGGGTAAGATAAAGTCTAGAAGGGTGAGGGGTTGAATAAACTTTATAAAATTTTAATTTTTGCGAGAAGTGTATAGTGGAAGTCTTTTAACTTGTACACAAATGAAGTCTGTTAACTGTTTGAGTGTGTGAATTTGTTACAGATTATATTGAATATAAATAGCAGAGTGTAGAGCAAAGTAGTAAAGAGTAAAGCAAAGTAGTAAAGAGTACAGGGAGTAACAATTTTTATAGTGGTTTTTCCTAATTTACTTTTCGTCTTATCTCAAAGGAGGAAATCTATTAATGTATATTTTACACAAATATACAAAGTGCAAACAACCTTTTCACAGAGACGTTCAACAAAGTATCTTTATTACTTGACTTTTTCACAATGATCGTTCACCAAGTCCCATTGCTACTTCACCGCTTACAAGGATCGCGCACAGAGTCCCCTTGCTAGCATAATATTATGACCTTTCTTCATAAGCATCAGTCAAGCAGTCTTCTTGTAATACTTAGTCACCAACCACTATTTTAATCCCAAGAATAGTATTCACAGATCCATGTGTTACTATTGTCTCGCTTTAAAGATTGTTGAGGTTGACAGGTTGCTAGAATGCTCGAGTTCATTAGTAATTAATCACTTCTTTCTATTGAAGTAGTTTCTTACTTATGAATTCACTTTTTTGAATTCAGATTCATTTAAATTTTCTTATTGGCGCTCCTTCTGGCTTTATACTTAGCATTTTTTTGCCAACAAGTTTATTTTCCTATGTGTTTTATAACCCCTTTCAGGTGGATCTATTGTATGATGAGAGCGTGCATTCACTATAGTAGAGTGTAGCTCTAGTATACCGTAGAGGCTAGACTTAGTATTTCCATCCCGTTTTAGACATTTTGTTTACTATGGTTGTAGCTAGACTACCGAATTTATGTTGGTGCGTAGACACTGGGGATTGCTTTCCCTTTTTGTTGTTATGTTGAGCAGTGACTCCAGTAGTAGCAGTTTTTAGCCTGTGCAGTTACTCGAGAGTGGGTAATTGTGGCGGTGGCATTCCCTTCAGTTATTGATTTGGATTTTATATCCTAGCTTATTTAATTATTCCCTTGTTAATCCTATTTAGGATGCTTTATTTTTTAGGCTCTAGAGTTTAGAAAAAAGGGGGTGTTACAATCTCTTCTACTTGCAGCTTCACTGATATTACTGTTGCGGTGGCTGGTTCTTGAAAGTGTAGGGCATTTAGTAGACTACAAGGTTTGGTTGTCGGAGGTGGTGGGGTTGGAGCATAAAGGCTACAGTAACCGGCACAAGATTCTGTTGGTGAGCTAAGGAGACTTTTCGTTCTCAGCCAGTTTAGCGGTGGCATTTGGGTTTACTTCTAACATAACTGTTTTTCATTTGATGTTATGTCCAAGAAAAGCAAAAATAAAAAATAAAAATTAAGAGGGATGGATGGATAAGAACTTTTATTGTTGAATGATCTGATTTCAGGTAAAAGCTGATGTAACAGAGGGAACTACTAAATTAGCTGATGCCATAGGTGAAGATTCAGATGCAGTAATATGTGCAGCTGGATTTCAGCCTTCATGGGACTTTTAAAATACCATTTTGCACCCTAAACTAACAGCTAAGAGAAGGATGAATAACAGAAGGACCATTGGTGGAACAAATTAGAAAGTCAAGTGTCTTTTTTGTCCAAATTAAAAGTTGAGGACCAATTTTGGAAAATCGCAATAGTCGAAGGACCATTGCTGGAATTAACTCCTAAGATGCACCAAAGACTGACCAACAATGCACCAAAGACTGACCAACAATGCACTAAAAGATGACCAAGAATGCACCAAATATTGACCAAGGAGTAATGCACTGGACAGTGCACACAACGGGGTAGGAGTGGCGGGTGTTACCTACCCGCGACTCACGCCTGCAATAGACCTAGCGGGTCTGTCTCGCAGGACTTAACCACCTACGAGGTCCATCCGCAAGGCCAAAAGAATGAACTAGTAGGGTTGTCTCACGGGGTCCAACTACCCGTGACACGCACTCGCAAGGACAAAAACAACATGCCAACAGTCACTCAGCAGAAAGAAAGATCAATGCAACAGTAGGTTTCATCAACAACTCAGTAGAGAATAAGAGATCAAACCATAACCAAAATCATCATGAATACTCAAGAACAAAGCTAGAACACTATCAATATCAACAAGGAATTCAAGAACAAGAGATATGATACAAAGTCAACACAAGAATACTCCCAAATCAAGAGCTCAAGAATGTCAACAAGTTCATACTCAATGGATTCAAGAACATCAAGAACATTTATATAAGTTGGAAATATGTTTTGATGGACATGGAGTTTACCTTTTGAAGCTAGCTAACCCGAACCAAGGTCTCCAAAGCTCAACCTATTAAGATCTCTCCTCCTTGTTTATCTTAGGAACCCAAAACCCACCATAGAAAAAAGGGAAGAATCATAAAGATGGTGAACCAAAGAAGGAAAATGGATTATAAGGACATGTCTTACCATTATCTAGCTTGGAAGACTATAAAAGATAGATCTTTCTTGATTTCTTGAAGATTGATGAAGGATGAATATTTGGTAGGGAAGGGGAAGAGGAAATGGCGTGAATGAGAGTGAGGGTGGAGTGGTGAGGAAGACAAGGTCTAGATATTTTATGAGTGTATTAGATATGGAGATGGATGATGAAATTAAAGAATGAAATGCAGGAAATTCACTTAGCTCAAGAGTAATTGTAATCAATCCAACATGATGTCCAATCAAGCAAGAAGAAGCTCCAAGATCAAAGAAGAGTTGTCAATTGAACTTGAACCCTAGAACTATCTTCTCTCTACAATTGGAGAGAATTGAGAGCCTAGACTAGAAGTGGAATAGTGAAATCCTAAACTAATGGCAAAAGTCTCCTAAACAATCCCACCAACAAGCAATTTATACTTCATTAAACTAACGTTGGTATGAGTTACTGTTGGTCCCGAAGGGTTGGTGTACAAGTCTAGAGGGGAGGGGAGGGGGGGGGGGGGGGGCGAGGTGAATAGACTTGTAGGGTTTTGAAATTTTGACGATTCGCTCAAGCAGACTGAAAGGTCACTTCAACTAGATAATGCATAACGGAAATTTGTTAACCCTTTTTAAGTGGTTTGCACATATTTTGTCATTTTAAAATGTTAAGATTTAATCATGATTGAATATGAAGGATAATCAGTAAAGTATATATATATATATATATATATATATATATATATATATATATATATATATATATATATATATATATATATATATATATATATATATATATATATAGGACTGTGATGACAGATATAGTGTGTGCCATTAGCCGATATGTCGTGTGCATGGCTGAATGTAATCGTGTGCCACAGTTTGTATGCCCCGTGCTAGATTTGTTAATTT